GATGTATCTAATGATGATTTAGATTCGTTCGGTTATCATTTCAGATTGGATATATGTTCATGTCGACTACGGTCGATTCTTTTTTTGTAACTATGTGTGGTTGTTATGTCTTTCTTTTTAACTGGTGACCAAAGGGACTAGGATATTGGAGGTTTCACACTTGGTTGAGACCGTCCTAGTCGACCGGCGTACGCTTCGTACTTAGGAGATCAACGCCCTAAGGAACGAACGACGTCCGGGTTCAATAGGCGTTTTAATCGCGCGTACCTATACTACAACGAACGAGCAAACGCCCTCGGCTGACCCACCTCTGCAACTGCATGTAAAAGCTTTCGCACGTGGGTCAGTAGCTCGGTAGGGATACGCCCCTAAGGGTGGTGACATCCCCTTAGGGAAGCAAGCTTATGCCCCGCGGGAACCTATCCTGTCGTAGGGGACCGCGGGATGTACAACGGGCGCACCCGGCTAGAGCGGCGAAGGGACGAAGCGACTGCGACCGTCTCGACGGTCCGTGGGATTAATTAGGCGTCATCCCCGAGTTGTCTCTGTGTTTTTCTTTTTGTTTTAACTCCTGAGTGACATGGTCGGGAGGGCTCCCGCCTCTTTAGCGAGAAAAGGCGGGGGCCGATGCGCTCGATACCGCACTTGAGGCACTGGCGATTGTCCATTTTGGACAGTCATTCCTCGTGTTATTCCCATCTTTTCCCAGGACTCCCCGAACGCAATGTCGAGGTGCTCGAAAAACGAATTTGGCCTCCTCTTCTTCTTCCCCTGACTTTGGCCTCCCTTGTTGGCCACAATGGCAGCGACATCACCCTTCCTAGATTCATTGCCGCCATTACCTCCTCCTCCCTTAGACTCGTCGAGGGGTAACTTTTCTACGATATCATCATCAAATACAACAAGTATGTGGTCCTGGCGCTTTTGTCACCAAATGACCCGCTTGCCATACCCACCAACTGGTCCTGACTTCACCACCGAAGCATACGTACCTTTCACCTATGCGGTTATTTGCTCTCGTTGGAGAGCGAGATCACAAAATTGTCGGTAGTTATACTTTCCAAACTTGGCCTCAACGACGAGCTGTCCGCGAATAGTTTCAGGCAGAGCACATGAATAGATATACAGAACCTAGTTGTCGTGTAAGTTCAATCTAGGTACCTGCAAGAGACGATCTACTTCACGCGGCAAAGCATCAACATAAGTCCAACGTTGTAGGACTATCGTGGTTAGTTCGTCAAAGGCCTTGTCGATCGTCGTCTTGTCAAGAAACCTCTCCTTTATCTTTTGGAGAAATTGCTCGAGGTTCAGGGTCTTAGCCCACTCACCGATATCCTCGAAACCAGCAGTGTTGGCTTTAGACAATACCCACTTGGAGAAATNGTGTTGGCTTTAGACAATACCCACTTGGAGAAATTGCTCGAGGTTCAGGGTCTTAGCCCACTCACCGATATCCTCGAAACCAGCAGTGTTGGCTTCAGACAATACCCACTCCTTGGCCACTCCCCCTATACACGATGTACAGAAGGCCACATGACTCTCAGTCTCGACCGGAGTGGTGCCGCAGTAAGTCTCGATCTCCGAGATCCACAACAACAATTTTTCATCTTTCTTGTTGTTGTAAGTGAACGACAACTTCATTTTCACTTTTTCCTTTCTCTTTGCCGGTTCTTCCTTCTTCGCGGTTTTTTCTTTCTTCTCGACCGGTCTCTCGGGTTCTTTCTTAGAACTTTCGGATTTCTCCGGCGTGACTCTCTTTATTGCATCCGTCATTAATTTTTCCTGGGGTTCTTTCTTCACTACCTCCTCCTCTGGTTTCCTCCTCATCTCCTACCTTATCTTTCCCTTTCAGGAGTCTAGTCACTATCCCCAATGAGGCAGTGTTGCTATCAATTTTCTTCTCGAGATGAACAAGGTAGATCATGATAGACTGAATAATGGATGCAAACTCGTTGTTTGTGTCTTCGTAGTAGAACTTCTCTCTTAGTTCCTCCATTACTCTTTCTTCTTCTTGTTGTTGTTCTTGTTGTCTCTTGAATTCCTCAATCTTTCTCCTTTCTTCTCTTAATGTATTCTCTAATTGCCTAACGTTTTCTTCCATTACCTCCACAAACAATCGTGGTACTGCTTTCTCCTCTTCTTTTCTTTTCTTTCTTTCCTGTTCCATCTTGTCAAAACCCTCGGCGACATACCGGTCAAGGGCCATTCGCCCTTTGCTTTATGCTATCCTTAACTTTCTTACCGGTTTCCATCATCTAAAAAACAGTTTCAACGGTCTACAACTCATTTTCTGCCTCATGCAGATTAAGCTGTCCGTGAACATGCCGTTCAGCTTATGGACCGACGCCATGTATCTCACCGAGAAGCTGGCGAAGAAAATCGATCAAAGTCTGTCTTCTCGCATCAATTTGACCACGAGTCTCAAGTTCCCCCCCTTCTTCATCAGCGTAGACAGTGAGAGGGAAAGCAAAGAAGAAGAGAGGTATGAAACGTGTGAGGATAGAGGCACGCAGACATTTCCAGAGATGAGTCATTTTTCCCAGCGTGTAGATGCTGCACAATAAATAAAATTAAAAGACAAAAATAAATTTCACGGCACACGCAATTTCTACAGCAAGAATTAATCAAGGCAGATAAAAGAAACAAGTTCTCAATTAATTTCTAATCCTAACTTCGCTGTCCATTCTTTCTATGTGTGATGACGTCCTACCACAAGTGTACATCTACCGCAGCCACGACCAGTGTGATCAAGACAACAACACACAGGTGAGTATGCACAGCAACCACAGAACAACCAACAGGTGAGTAGGTCAGCCAACACAACAACACAATCAATGATTAGCTTCCTTCCTCTACGGCTGTATCATCTGCAGAAGCAATGCAACCAAACACAAGGGCCAGCACTCGACACTACAACAAATCGTGAAGCCGTACTGTCTGCCAGCACACACATGCACACTCAACAGTTTCCCCTCAGCAGCGTGTTATGCATGCCACGTGTTGCCCCTGGCATGCCAACGCAGGAGCTCTATGGAGTCTACCATGTCAGCGTCAAGGACCAAAAGGTCTACGAGGGGGGGATGCCACGTCAGCAATGCATGTCTGCAACACACACAACACTGGCATGCCACATCAGACCATGCTCTGCCGAAATGCCACATCATCATTCCACGTTATGCCACATAGGCAGTGCGCCGATACCTCGAAGCCTCTAGTGTAGCCACGCAATCATCTTCAAGGGAGGCTGCACGCACATGCCGTGCTACATGTCTAGACTTGCGGTATCAACCGCGCGTGTTAACAAACGCGTTTCGTCCTGCACATGCGGCACCTCCCACTTACCTGGGTGCTAAGTCAGCACCTGACAACAGATTGCGATGAAGGAGTATGCTCTGATACCAAATTGTAATGAACCGAGTCTGGCAGATATCATCAAAAGTCAAGCACAAGTAGTCTTAGATCTGCATGAACTCTCCAGTTAACGTGAAGTGATATCTGAAACAGTATCTCGTTACCATTAGACGAAGAGAGTGGAGGGGAATAGACAGAGGAGAAGGTGGAAGCGATAAACAATGATCACCCAAGAGTAATCCAATCAAACCCCACTTCTTCTCCGGGCTTCCACTCTTCTCCATGTCATCAACTAGTACATGATAACAAGTATGATAAGTCCTGATCACACAGAAGTGCCACGTGGCACTCTTATCTCGTGAAGACCATGAAGACAACAGCAGATTACGGTAACGACGCCAACCTCAGGTGAGTACCCCAATCATCCACAGATCCCGATCTCCCTCCTTGTCGCAACCAATCACCTCATGTAGACAGTGTGGCCAATGCCACGTCAAATGTACAGACAGGTGGCATGCACCAGATCATCAATGAAGACAGGTGGCAGCGCCACATCAGCAATGTAGATAAGTGGCATGCGCCACATCAGCAATGCAGACAAGTGGCACGTGCCACATCAGCAGGATAGACAGGTGGCAGCGCCACATCAGCAATGCCTGGCGCACAAAGCAGAAAGCGCCAGCATGCTGCCACAGTCCCGAGTCGCCGTCCACAGTGCCTGTGCACAGCCAGCGTCAAGCTAGCGTTTCGCCAGCATCAAGCCAGCGTCAATGCCAGCGTTCAGTCAGAATCGAGCCAGTGTCCAAGCAGCATAGCAAGACTGAATGTTGACCACCTCGAGACCCAGCCTTATGTAGCCTTTGAGGATGCTTTCTGGCCTCGGGTCCTCTTTCCACAGTCGTACAGATTGACTCGCAGCCGAGGGCCTGGATTGTGTACAGTTGCAGACCTCCCCTTGTTCCTGATGTCATCTGGGTACCTGCATACAAACAAGTGTGTGCGTCTGACCGGCGGCCTGGGCTGGCTCGACTTTGGACTTTGACTGTTGGGTCCTGACAATTGACTTTAGTCAACTGTATCTCGCCCAGGCCCTGAGTCTAGTCATGGGGTTCTTTTCCGCCCTTTGGCCTGGGTCTGAGTGCGGCCTGGCGAGGCCCTCAGACATTCCACGAGGCGTACGGCTTGGGTTATTGCAGGATACATTTTGAAGCAGTTTTGGCGACCACTTCGTGTCCAGCAATTCGGCGGAAATGTCCGAATTGCTGCACTTTGTGCYTGGAGGCTCGCAAGAGTCGGTCAAGTACAAAATACAGGTAGGTCCTGCGCTATCATGAAGGGTCGAAGAGAAAGCACTTGGTTGAAACAAAGTTCGACCATGAGTGACATATAAAAGATTCTTCAATGGTCGCCATATGCTTGTCTGCTTTGAGTCTTTTGCAGCTCCGCAAATTTTGAATACCCATTCATTGGTTCCTTGTAGAAGATTATATCATGGGCCCAGCCGCCCAGGCCCAGAGCCGAAAAATAAGAAAACGCATTCCAAAAAAAAGTGTAGGCAAGGGTATTGAAGGGGCTAAGGGTTAATTAATAAAGATTGCAGCAAGAGTGAGCAAGTCATAAAAAAGGCGCAAAGGGAGCAAGGGACTTACACCCCAGATAAAGGCACCGTATATCAACAGATCGTCAAGTTGTCGAACATCATTTGAAATCAGGTTGATGCACTTCCCGGTTGTCGTATGCGCTAGTGAGCCAGCAGTCAATTGCAGGAGCTTCCTATTCACTGCAAGGGACAACAGTAGGAAAGGATTTCCATTCAGCAACAGAACCTTATGGTAGTGTCTCCAATGTAGTTTTTCATAAATGAACATTCCACGAATAGATTGGAGCATTTTGTCCCAAAAAAGACGACCTACTCAGTCAATTCCCTGTTGTTCAGGGTAATCAAGGCTGGCAGGGATCTCCTGTTACCTTTCAAAACTATAGGATAGTCTGTTTTGAGCAGGTAGTCTTGAGATTTCTGAGTAGTGGTCAAAATCTCAAAGTTCAAAATTCTGTTTCCTTTGGGTAGGTTTCTAGCCTCATTTTCATGAACTTTTGATATCTTTTCTGAACGTACTCATTACGTACTCATTATGGGACGCTGGGCCCGGTTCCCAGTTCGTGCCAATTGTGAGGATATGGTTGTATCTATGGGACGCTGGACCCGGTTTCCAGCAGGTGATGCTCCCCACCAATAGATGGAGCTTGTTTTTTTCAAAAAAAAAAAAAAAAAAAAAAAACTTTAGGATAGATAGAATAGAACTTAAACGAGAACTTCTGTTTATTAGTAGGATTGTAATTCTTTGGTCCCCGTTTTCAGCATTCGGTTGTTTGAATTTTAGGATTATTATCCAGTCAGGACTGGTAGGATAGGATCTTGCGGTGAACTATAAGCTAAACCGGCTGAGGCTGCCGGGATAACTCCGGGTTGAATTGTGAGGTCCCCGGCCTCATCATGATGGACTCCTTTTCTGGAAATATATGAGACACTTTGTTTAAAAAAAAAAAAGAAAAAAAAAAAAGAAGAAGAATTAAGCAATTCGGATATAATCTCTTGGTGATCATTGGGTCCAAAGAAAGCAGCGCACTACCCCAACATCCATCCAAAACGACAATGAACACTGTCGGTAAACTTGTTTGGATCTAGCCTTCTTATTTAGTTTTCTCAAATCCCCTTTCCACGGCATCTTTTATTTTGGGGGACATTAGTCCGTTTCCTTCTCGACAAGCAAGTCCAAATTACAGTCAATGCTAGGCTACCAGAGTGGCCCGGGACCACTTGCACGCCCGGGCTGCCAAAAAAAATAAAAATAAATAATAAATAAATAAAACAAATGGTAAAGAATTTCTATGTGACCCTGAGGCAATAGTTGTTCAGTTTTTCTTTTTTTTTGCATAACTGCCATAACATAGTTTTTCTGCGTTTTTTAAACCGTTTTTTTTGTCAAGGTGCAAGGTACGTCTAAGTAAGACCCTCACGACAAATAGGACAACTGTCATAAGGATGCGGGCGATGGTAGCAGCCCTCCCGCTGATCCATAGGACGAAAACCATTCAGGTAAGCAACTTCGTCACAGCAGGAGCCAGGGCGGCTAGCATTAACCATACCTCTGAAGCATGCACGACAGAGGGCATGCCAGTTGCAGGCCATGACGATTGTGGGGCATTCACCATCACAGTTAAGTGCACATTCACTATAACGCCCGCAGGCACAGATGGGACATACTGCATCTGGATGTAGAGGATGTTCACAATCCGGATACAGGTGGCATCCCTGCCGACAGGAGGCCCGAACAATTATATGGTTGTAGTGATGTCGACAAATGTCCCATCTGTGCCTGCGGGCGCTATAGTGAATGTGCACTTAACTGTGATGGTGAACGGCCCACAATCGTCATGGCCTGCAACCGGCATGCCCTCTGTCGTGCATGCTTCAGAGGTATGGTTAATGCTAGCCGCCCTGGCTCCTGCTGTGACGAAGTTGCTTACCTGAATGGTTTTCGTCCTAT